TTTTTTTTTTTTTTGTTCTCCGAACTGAAGCACAGTAAAGCTTAATTTACCCGGCATTTTCTATTCCATCTTTTGCATCTCTTGTTTATTACATTTTAGATATCCGCAGGCAGGATTAATAAGATCAGTTTTGCAAATAGCGGGACTCTTTTAAACACGAACGATAAAACTTACAATCTGCTGTATTTTATCTAGTAGTGAAGCACATTTTGTAACACACATTTTGTTGTTTAAAAGAATTATTATATATGTCAGGATAAATTTAAAAAAAATTACACGTTATATCTATATTTTATCGATCGTGTTTGTTCAAGTTCCGCCTTATTCTGAGGATGCTTTCATGCTATTTATTTTGCACATTTTTTGCAAGAAGCATTAACTGATAAACGTTCTAACTAACGGTTAGCTAACTACTAACATACACAATATAACATTGCGCACAACAAAAAATTACGGACTGTTCAGAAATAAGCAACGGTGTAAATCGACGAATCGAAGGAAAAGAATAGCGTTGTAAATCTTTTTCTCGTAGTAGAGACAGTATGGGAAATTGCTTGTTCCTGAACGAGTTGTATTTATTTAGCTTATTGTACAAGAAAGCAAAGAGGGGCGAGTGTAGATTGACATTTTTTTAAACATAGACATAATAGTAATATACACGTGTATGGTGAACTGATCCCATTTTCCAAGCCTACAGAGAGAATTGGATGTTACAAGAAAAAAATGTGATACCATCGATGGTGGTGGACTCAATTTGAGTATACATTTTTCCACCAGATAACTGTACGTCGTTATACGGATCATAATCGTCTAAATCCTCGTCACTCTTTAGTTTTGCAAGGATCTTGCGTCTTTGTTTCGTACCGACTGATTGCATAGCTAAAAGCACATTAGGGGACTGAATGCCAAGAGAAGATATCAACGCGTCCGTCCCATAAACGAAAGCCGCGCCTATGAGAAATCCAACTCCGATTGGTACGAACGCGTATTCGCCTTCCACTCCGTAAATTTTGCTCTTTGTCGCCATTTCGATAGCAGGTGCCAGTAGCGACCAGTAACTTGCCGCTATCATCACGCCGCCCGCAAATCCCAGACTGATGTCCAACAATTTACGCTGCAATAAAACGCGTACCATCATTTAGTATAATTCCCCTTTCATCTCTTAATTTATATATGCATTTAAAATTTTCAAGTATGCATGAATGATTTAACTGGCAGAGGGGAAACGATGAAACGTAACGTTTTTCGCTCAGTCAAAATAATTAAGTATATTCGTAATAGACTATTTTGCACAATCAATTAATACTTCCTGAAATTTGCACGTTTAGTTTGTTTAGTTGGTATGCAGATAACGTACTTATCTTATCAGATGAAATCACGTTGGTATTTTTTCGAAAAAAAAAGAAAAGAAAAGAAAATAAATAAATAAATAAAAGATAACATTGACATTCTTTTTACATTTACATAGCACTTCCTAGTTATAAGAATGACTATTTAATAATTATTTACGATAGAATACTGAGTTTTGATAACTTTCTAATCAGGAAAAGATGTAGCTAATGTACTGCTCACTGAAAATTAGATAAAATTTCGTGTTTTGGCTACTTTTTCGTCCGCTTTTGCGTCTTTTTTATAATAATTGACTAGCAGAATCCGAAAAATGCCAGTTTCAAGTTTGGGAAATCAAATGTACGAGATCAAAAGTTATGCGCCTGTAGAAATGCACAAAAATGCATTTTAAATACTTCTACGCCATTAGTTTCGAGCACAGTCCATCCATTCATTAGCTACGAAACAGATGCACGTGATGACCATGTATCACAGGTTTGATAATCGATATGGATTTGAATCAGATAAATCCTTGGCGGAAGTCAGTCGGTAACGTTGCTCTCTACTAAGTCGACTCGAACTTTGTTAAATATCGACGCATGGATAAGTTTTCATGCCACGATTTTCTAAACTTAAAACTGGTACACTTGAATGTTATTAGATAGATCGCTATGAAAAGATACAGAAATAATTGAAAAGATCAAATAATTGAGATATCTCAAAACGAAGAAAGATAAAAAAACCTTAATTGATGTATGATCAATTATCGCGCAATACATTTCTCTTTGAATTGACTGAATTCAATCAGAAGAAACTACTCGATGCTAATCGATACTAGTTTCTCGAGTATCACACAAATTCACTGATCAGAAAATGCCATTCGCCAAATTATAATACGGAATTATAAATTACCAAAAAGATCGGTAAATCGCAGAGTATCGCGAATATTGTACCGATTTGATCGCAACGTTTCAAACATTTTCAAAAGTAGTGTAATACATACGTTTTCAAAACGGAATAATTCCCGCGAAGAGCGAATGATAAAGCCGGATAAGGTTAGTGTATGTGTTTCGTAACTCAGGTTAGAACAGAGCAAATGTAATATTTCGATTAATGCAGCGGTAACCGTTCTAAAAAATGTAAGATATTGGGAAATATTCGATGAGAAGAAGAGAGAAGAAAGGAATAATGCTTACTTGCTTCCCTCGAATTACGATGACAAGTGCGGCACCCGCTGCGGTGAGAGCCCACGTAAATAACGTTCCTAGGAGCGCCTGCACGATCGGCGAATAATCCTTTAACATTGTACCAATCGTTTAGTCCTAGGCACCTTAGGCTACACCGTACATCCTCCGCAACGTGAACCACGAGGAACTGTTTCGTGGGACAGAAAATCCGTTGATATGCATTCAGTCCCCCGCACTTATCTGAACCACCACCATCATCACTACCACTACCACAATAGTCGCCACTGATACCTTCATTACAGTTACTATCACTGCTGAATATTGGCGCTGCTACCGCCACTTTACTACCACCAACGCATATTCGCGTCTGCTGTAGTACGACCACTTCGTTCCCGTACTTATCAATTATGATTTCCGAACAGGATACGCAGAACACATTGACACGAAACCGGACGACGAACGCACGCAGTGAACGCGCGTTTATCAGCATTCGCCCTTACGCGCAAATGGGGTTGCTTGTACATACATGTGACGCTGAACACTTTCTCAATTGACCAATGGCATTTGCCATTTCCAATCCACCAATCCGGCAGCGACCTGCACTGATTGTGCACAATATTCGAACTGCGTTAAGCCGACGTCAAAACTGCGTGATATTTGATAGACACACCGTTTCCGTTACGTTGAAATTTGAGTCGCCTGTCGTTGATCGTCGACATGCTCGAACTCTTCTCTAGAAATTTTATTCGAAACGCCTCTATGTACGTGTATATTTCATCACGCTTTTTTCCATGTTTCAACGAGGCGTTAGTATCGCTGGAAGCTTTTAGTAAAATACGCTAACATGGCGTCTGCGTCGGTAAGTGTACGGAACATTTTAACCCATCTGATTTTCATACATCGACGCCAAGTGTCTTTTTTTTTTTCTTTGCTCCCCCACCATTACTAGTTTGCTTTGAAGTACATTGGAAGAATGCTTTTCGTCGTGTAGAAGTCATCGTTATCTTACTATCGTGTCGGAGGAGAAGTTACTATTGACATTTGTTCGTGAATCTTCGTGCGTATTAGTTCGCAACTTCGTTAGTTTAAACAGGTGCAAATCGATATTTGTAATTATGGTTTTAGAGTATGTATGTAGAGTCATTTTCGCCATGCATCAATCTCTTTCCAGAAAGGGAAAGAGAATTACCATTTTTTATTTTCATTAGCGTTGTAATCATGGTTTGACGTGTAATGTTGTTGTTTGTCAATAGCTAAATTTTCTATAATGTGATTTCTTAGGTTCCTTTGCTAATGGATGATGATACCATTGCTTTTGGCGAGGAGGATGAAACGGGTCAAGATAATAATAAACTTAAGTATATCAAAATTACAATTACACTAATATTTAGCACAAATAACTAGATTTTGACACTGACAACATATTACTACTTTGTAGACATCCATACGTCACCATGTTTCATTTAGCCTTCAGAATATCAGCAATAGTAGCCTATATGTTATGTGGATGGTTTTCAAATAGCTTTATAACTAGTTTCGTTGTTGTTGTATTACTTTTGTCAATGGATTTTTGGACTGTTAAAAATATCACTGGAAGGCTAATGGTTGGTCTTAGATGGTGGAATTACGTGGATGATAATGGAAAAAGTCATTGGGTATTTGAGTCCAAAAAGGTTTGTTTTCAAATTTTTATATTTATTAGAGTCTGTATATATATATAGACTATATTTGAAACTCTGAATTATAGATATTCAAATGAAATAGTACTTTAGATAAAAAATGAAAATTCTGCAAATGAGATATTTTTATATTACTAATAAGAAATAAATAAATTAAAATAAAATATCTTGAAATAAAGCCCCAGTATTTTTTAATAATATACTCTTCTTAAATAGTAGTTTAAATACTTTCTCAAATAAATAAAATATTTTATTTTCAACGTTACATGTATTATTTACCATTTGAAATATTTAGCTTAGTTTGATATATTGTTTCATTCTATAATAAATATAAGTCATAACTATATATATCTCTTTTATTTGCTACCTTATGGTATATGTTGGTTCTACCTGAATAGTTCAAGGCTTACCAGTTTTCACATTTTATGCCCTTGACACATTCTGGTTAAACGGAAAAGATAAAAAAAGAAATCTTATAATTATGCAGGAATTTAATGTTCTACCATTCTTGGTAAATAACGTTAAGTAGTAGAAAGGACTGTAATTATCTATTATAAAATACAAGGTCTATCATGTATGCCCTGTGTTTCAGGGTGTTCAACAGAATCGTATTAATACCACAGAAGCTCGTATTTTTTGGTTAGCTTTAATTCTCTGTCCACTTTTGTGGTCAGTATTTTTTGTAGCAGCATTGTTTAGTTTGAAATTTAAGTGGTTGCTGCTTGTATGGATTGCGATTGTTTTAAATGGTGCAAATTTGTACGGATATGTAAAATGTAAAATGGGAAATGAGAAAAATATTTCTGCAGCCACCAGTGACTTTTTGAGAAAACAAGTCATACAAAACGTTAGTAAATAAATATTCTTCATACTTCATACTAGAGGGATATGTGAACCACAAATGCACAGAATTGTTATTGTGTCACAGGTTGCGTCCATGATGACTAGGAGTCCACCCACAGGCAATCCAAATGAACCAACTAATGTGATATAAAATTAGAATTTTTCTGCCATGATATTATTTAAAAATAACGTGAGTACTATTATGAAAACTCAGTTTGTATATAATGATACTGACAATTGTATATCCTGATGAAATAATATAAAATAAAATTGCTACCGAAAATATCGTCAATCGATTATATCTTTTTATGTTTTGGAGTGAAGGCTTTAATGAGAAAAGTAGCGATGTTACGTTAGTTATTAGTTTATTGATGCCACAGGGCAATACATAATGTACACCTTATTTCTCCTTGTCAACAGACTTTCTATTACACAATATTTAATTTGTATAGGTGTTAATTAGTAACATTGCATTTATTATATTCACTTCAGCCTGTTGTATTCTTTCTGGCAAGAAAGTATCACAAAATAATTTCCCATTCTTTTAACGATATTTAATATTTGACTTATTCTTTGTTTCATTAATTCACATTTAATTCCACGGAATCAACGACTGCAATCGCACGACTACAATCTTATCCGAATGGATGAACTCGAGATGATCTCACATACAGTGTAACGAACCCGTCGTGGTATTGCACGGAGCGACAATATGGCCGATTGTATTTTGTTGTATTAGGAAAGATTGCTCCGAAAACGCGAGTTGCATGCTTTTTAAGAAGAAGAATACAACAAACCACATATTGCTATACACTCTGGGATATAAAAAAATTATAAACACTAACAATAGACACGCAGCTAACGTACAACATACACGAAACTTTTGGAATGATACAAAAGAACGTAATAATATTACAATTCGGTATCTTATAAATATATGAATATCGTGGACTTCTTTGAATTGGTAAATTCATCGGATTATAATTTAATTCTACTAACTTATAACTAGTAATATGTTTATACAATCATTTAACTTTTTTCGTTTTCCGTAACGTATTGTATTTTTAGTCTGGAACTTTGAACGCGAAGTTGTCGACCGTCTTGGCGAAGCTGCACTTTGTGCAGGATTTTATATTTCTTCTCTCTTTTGTTAAATTTCTCAATATATCTATATATATATATATGGGTGTACGTAGTTAAAAAGGTCGAATCCAAAGATAACAACGAGATCCCCAAAATCATCATACCAAAGACTTTTAAAGTTTAAAGTTTAAAGTTCGCTTCTTCCACGAATATGATATGGATCTTGTGAACAGATTCTATTTAAACTGAAATCGTATGTTTCTTTCTAAATTTCGTTTCTTTAACTCTCTGAGAATAGATTTAGTCAGTTTATCGTCCATGGGAATGTATCTCTTTATTTTCTATGTAAGATTTCTCAGCCTTTTTTGGTAATACATTCGTAACAAGTCGATTTCTTTCTTTCTTTTTTTTTTTTTTTTTTTTTTTTTTTTTTCTGTAAGAAGTTTCTATACCAATTGCAGCTCTTAACAATTCGGCACATTTTCGTCGGAGAGAGAAATTGTTTCAAGGATTACTTAATTGCTGCTGATTTGATTTATTGAAAAAACAGTCGTTTCGTGTCTCTTCATTGCCAGTAGCCAACGAATTTTACATTCCGAGGCAGAAGCACGATATTGTTAATTATATAGGAGGAAAATGTAAAAAAAGTATAAGAAAGAAGAAAGTAAAAGGTAAAATTATATAATAAATCAACGGTATAAAAAAGAAAAAAAAAAGAAATTACAAAAATAGAATTACATATTTCGAGAGTAACTTTCGTGCTCGTAC